ACGTACAATGAAGTAGATGGAGACCAAGAGATCTAAATGAGTAACGAGATGCAATCCAATGTAACTGGAAAATGAAGTGTAGAAATTATCTTCACTTTTGGGAAAAATGTTACTCTCACAAATATACTACATGTTCCGGATATGAATAGGAACTTAGAGAATGGAAATCTTTTGGGAAAATCGGGCATTAAAAGTGTCTTTGAGTCCGGTAAACTTGTATTGTTACTTAACGAAAAATTTGTTGGAAAGGACGATTCATGTGAAGGAATTGTCAAACTTTGTACTGTTGACAATGAAATAAATAAAGTTGATTTTGCTTACATGATTGATTTATTTTCTTTATGGCATGCTAGATTAGATCATATAGGTAAAAGTACCATGAAACGCATGAGAAATTGTCACTTAATTTCATATGATGTAAATGATGACATGAAAAGCAAAATATGTGTAGAAGCAAAAACGGTTAAAAAGCATTATCAAAGCGTTAAGAGGACTTCTAGCATAGAATTAATTCATTCCGATATATGTGAATTGAATGACATGCTAACAAGAGGTAAAAATAGATATTTCATAACATTTATTGATGATTGCTCAAAATATACCTATGTTTATTTGATAAAACATAAATACGAGGCATCTGATTTGTTTAAGACTTATAAAAATAAAGTTGAAAATCACTTAAATAAGAAAATAAAGACTTTAAGAAGTGATAGAGGTGATGAATACTTCTCTAATGAATTTAATTTATATTGTGAACAACATTACATAATTTACCAATGTCCTGCACCTAGGACACCCGAGCAAAACGGTTTGGCTGAAAGGAAAAATAGAACTTTAGTAGAAATGACTAATGTCATGCTTATATATGCTAAGTTTCCGTTTAATTTATGGGGTGAAACTTTATTGAGTGCATGTGGGGGTGTCTTGCTTATTACAAGAACACAAATTCTAATAGGACCAAATTAGGTCCAAGAGGCATTAAATGTGCTTTTGTTAGATATGCTAATAATATCAAATCTTATAGATTGCTAAACTTGAATACCAATGTGATTATCGAATCAAGTGATGTAAAGTTCTTTGAAAATTCGTTATCATCGGATAATGAATTAAAGGAAAATATTGAAAACATCCCTAACTCAAGTGGAACACGTGATGAAATGTCTTCTAAAAATGTTGATGAATCTAGTGAACCACGAAGAAGTAAGAGAACTCAAGTTGAGAAGTCTTTGGGATCGGATGAAATTGATTCTCAACTTATCTCCTTTTACTTAGTAGAATGAAATGAATTGAATGTTGTAAGAAAATTCCTTTTGTTCTACAAGTGGAAACCGACCCTAAAACATATAAAGAAGCTATGGCTTCTCGTGATAGCATTTTTTAGAAAGATGCAAGTAAAGATGAAATGGATTCGATAATGTCTAATAAAACTTCGGAACTTGTCGATTTACCACCGAGATCCAAATCTATTCGATGTAAATGAGTATTTAGGAGGAAATATAATGTTGATGGCTCTCTAAATACTTTCAAAGCTAGATTAGTAGCTAAAAGATAACATCGATTAGGATATTATTTGCATTAGTTTCAATATATGACTTGCATGCTCATCAAATGGATGTCAAGACGGCACTGTTAAATGGGAATCTCGATGAGAAGATCTATATGGAACAACCCGAAGGGTTCATTCTACCTAAAAATAAACATAAGGTATGCAAGTTAGCAAAATCTTTATATGGTTGGAAGCAGGCATCTAAGAAATGGCATGAGAAATTTGACTTAGCTATAACATCATTCGGATTTAAACATAATAGCGTAGATAGATATTTATTTTCTAAAATGTATCATGATTATGTGACATTTATATGTTTATATCTTGACGACATGTTAATTATGAGTAATCACATGGACGGTATAAAATAAACAAAAAGGTTTCTATCTTTCATATTCAAGATGAATGATCTTGGTCAAGTGGATACCATTTTAGATATCAAAGTCACAAAGACTAGTAGGGGTTATCACCTAAATCAATCACATTATATTTAGAATGTGATAAACAAGTTCAAACACTTGAACATAAAAGAATATAGTACCCCGATTGATCCAAGTTCAAAACTTGTAAATAATGATAGAAGGGCGATTGTTCAATTAGAATATGCTAGTGCTATTGAAAGTCTTATATATGTAGTTCAATGCACATGACCGGACATAGCCTATGTCATAAGTAAATTTAGCAGGTTTACTAACAATTCGAGTAAAAATCATTGGAGGGTCATTGGGAGAATTCTTGGATACTTAAAGAAAACGAAAAACTTAGGTCTGCAATATACTAAATTTCCGGCAATATTGGAAGGATTTACCAATGCTAGTTGGATATTTAGCACGGGCGAAAGTAAATCTACCTAAGGTTGGGTGTTCACTCTAGGAGGAGGTGCTATTTCTTGGAAATCAAAAAAACAAACATGCATAACACACTCGACCATGAAATTTGAATTTGTAGCCTTATCGGATACCGGGAAAGAGGCTGAGTGGCTTAAGGATCTCTTTTATGAGCTACCTTTGAGATCGAAGAATATTTCTTCAATACCTATCATATGTGATAGTCAAGCCACATTAGTAAAAGCATACAACGAGGTATACAACAGAAAGTTTAGACACATAAGTCTTAGACATGACTATATAAGGAAGTTAATCAAGGATGGAATAATTTTCTTAAATTATGTAAGGTCAATTGAGAATTTGACGGATCCTTTGACTAAACCTCTAAACAGAGATTTAGTTGCATCTACTTCAAGTAGGATGGGATTGAAATTTCTTAACTAAAAAGGTTCACCAATGACGGCAATCCTACGTATCATTACTCAAAAGGTAATTTACAGGTTTAAAGGGTAACAATAAGTCATTCAATATGTGAATAGTTACAGCATTATTAAAAATCCACAAGAATCCTATCCTAATTAAATTAATGCTGGTTGTCACTGAAATGAGGGATGAGCTTTAAGCTCCTAATGAAGTTCAGTGCTAAAACACAAATACCTCTAAAGGTAATAAATGTACTGGAAGAACTTCACCTAAACAATCTTCAAGGTGGTGCCGCCTTAATAGAGAGTTGGAGTTTCTCTCTTAAAAGATTATTGAAAATGATAAGCGCAAGGTCATAAAAGCGCTAAGCGAGTTATGAGGAACTTGAGAATATGTGGTGCACATATGTGTGTGTTCTTACTAGTATCGTCATATGGAATAACTGGTTCAAAGTTACGGCTATCTTTAATTCCGACTTTACTTTGTAGGAATTACACTATGATTAGATTCAAATCGAAAGATATCTAATCCTTGGGCATGAGTATCATATTCTTTGAATATGAGATTTTATTGAATATTGAACAAGTAGGGGATTGTTAAGAATTGTTGTTCAACATCAATAAATCATTGGAAGTGGAAGTTAGAATGAAACTGAAAATGGTGGTCCCGAATGTGGCCTGTACGACCACACAGGCATATAACCTTGCGGTCGCATAAGGACCTACCGAAACGTAGAGGCTCGATTTGAGTTTAACCTTGCGATCGCATGGATTTGTACCATGCGACCAAAATCCGATTGTTTGAGGTCAATTTTTAGCCGTTGTAAGTTCAATTTTGGTGACTTTTGGCTTATATTTTGGTACCGTTTTGTGAATATGATGTATGTCTATATATATTGGATCCATGTTGAAGGCAAACACATTATAAAAACATTAAGGTTTTATATTACTTCCAAAAATCAAAGATCAAAGTCTTTAAAAGCCATATTCATATTTATTCTTTGTGTTCTTCAAACTTTTTAGGATTTGCACTTGTGCTTTGGTATTTAAATCCTTGCAAGGCTTGTTATAATCTTGCAAACCATTTGCCAACAACCTTCGAAGCATATCAAATTCATAGGAGAAGGGGAAAATATCGTTTGGAGACAACGATATCGTGTTCAAAACATTCATTGATACAAGTTTGAGATTATCTTGTTATTGGCGTTTCCGGTTCATATTTTGTAATCTGTACTCCAATCCGATGAATTTTCTCCAACATCTCCTGCTGCAAAAATCTTGGTCCAGCGTCTTCGTTGAAAGCATTGGTGCCAATACAGAATCAGATTCAGAGGCTTCCTATCGATTGTGTTTGGGATTGGACTGATCTGAATTGCTATTATACCATGGTGGATATCACTTAGAATCTCTACGACATGTGCGAGAATTCATACGATCTGAATTGTTCTTATGCCGTGGTGGATGTCAATAACAACGGCAATGGATTTGGCAAAAAGACATGGGATGGGCTGCAATCTCTTTCACTTTGGACAGCTTTTGACTCCTCTATCATTTGCAGGACTACAGAATTGTCCCAATCTGGAGGAAATACGGATCAAGGTTGAAGGAGATTGTAGGGGAATGTCAATGCCCTTTGAACATGGATTTGGATTGAGATTTCTTGGAAATTACCTAAGTCTATCAAAGATGCACTTGGATTGCAGGGAAGTCATTGGCTATGCGCTCACTGCGCCTTCTGGGCAGATCGATTTGGGCTTTTGGGAACGGTTTTATGTCTTAGGTATCAGAGATTTGAGTCTCACAGAACTTCATTACTGGCCTCCCCATGATAGGGATATTAACCAAAGGAGACTCTCTTCCGGCAGCCATATTACTCCAAGAATGCTTTACACTTAGGAAGCTTTTTATACATGGGATGGCTCACGAACATTTCATGATGTTACTACCAAGAATCCCAGGCCTAAGAGATGTCCAATTGAGAGAAGACTATTATCCAGCACCAGAGTGATATGAGCACAGAGATGAGGTCAGACTCGTGCAGTCGGTTTGAGGCTACTCTAAATAGGCGCCAGATTCCCGATTGATGCAAAGGACATCCTGTCCAGTTTTCTGTTATTTTGCTTCACCGTCATTTTAAGACTTTGAAGAAACTTTGATAATATAATTCATGCAATATGCCTACTAATTCCAAAACAAGACAGCGGAAAGTCGAGTTTTCTTTGATTTCACAAAAAAGGATGAACATATTTCCCCTTGATACTGAACTGGGGAAAGGAAAATCACATGGAAGTTTACAATTTTAGCCGGAAATACGTTGTTTATAAACCTCAACTATGTTACTCTTCTATACAAATGAACAAGCTGCATTAGCAAAGTGATAACTCGCAGTCTAGCAATCGGGGAAGAATTTCCTCACAACTTGGTCGTTCATCTGGTTCTGCCCAACAATCTGCAACCAAGAGATTATACTATCACGACCCCTGAGCAAGTATGAAATTTTGATAGCCGTCACATTACTAGATTCTAAAACAAGTACCTGCAATTAGCCTACCCAAGGGTCCCTCAGGTATCTCCAAACGCAATCCTTCATTTGCAACGGCATAAACGACCTGAATAGACGATGAAATTTTGGAATATTAAGCACTCCTATCAAGGACCATTATATATAATGAAAATATAAAGTTCAATTCAAGTACCCTCTCTGGTGGTATGCCGTCCCATGGTTTATTTAGGGTGCACAACTCCCACATTATAATGCCGAGGCTGAAAATGTCACATTTTACTGTGAAGGGTTCATTGCGTATAAGCTCAGGAGCCATCCATTCCGGTGTCCCTGCAGACGAGGAGTCCCGCATGGTTGCATCTGTCATTATCCTCGAGAGCCCGAAGTCACAGATTTTAACTGTCCAGTGCTTATTGACAAGGCAATTTGCACTTTTAAGATCACGGTGGACTATCTTCATGCGATGTATACACATCAGCCCTCTAAGTTGCCAACAGAAAACATTGAGGTTTAGAGTTATCCATCTAAATAATTTTATTTTTATTTTTTTTTTCTTTCAAAAAAAAAAAAAAAAAAAACCTATACAAACATTTGAAAAAGATACATGCTCTATCCAACTAGACTCGTAAATAATCAATATTGTCATTAGAAATCATTAGATATTTGAATTTCCCAAAGAAAACAGCGAGAGTTTCGGACAACGCCAATAATCGAAATTATTCTGGTAGTTTATGAGGAAATGTCATTTTGGCATTGTAGAAAACTCTGGATTTTGGGCTTTCAGGCAAAGTTCATATACGGATCACCAATCCCCATCCTCACCTTCTGGGGTGGCCTAGAATGCACTCCCCTCCTCGGTCAGGTATTTACATATTCCAGCAAGGTGAGGGGGCCTGTCCATGAATTGATTTCAACATGGAACCTAAGAGTTAGTTAATTATCCAAGCTTTCTAAATCCATTGGGGATGGTCTCACCTAATGCTCTAACGTAAGTGTATGGTATAGATCTTATCACTAACTTCCATTTTCCTTTTAATCTCTCTTTCATTGTCGAAGTATCAAGAAATTTAAGTCCATTTAGAAAGATAAACCACTATGCTCATTAATATTCTGATTATACCATCTGCTCAGAATGAAACATTACAAATGCAAGGTACAAGCTAAAAATTCACCAAAAGATCGTGGTAAATTTAGAAATCAAAGATTGAAGTCACAATCCAAGAACTATCATTAAAAGTTTGGATTACCTGAACCCACAGTAGGTGACAGATAGTACCCAAGGAAACTCAAGAGAAAGGGCACTGTAAATGCCATTACCATATCCCCAAATAACTGTGAACTGCAAATCTTCCAAATAGCCAAGCGTTATCATTTTCACCCATTGATGTTTTGATTAGCGTCTATTCTCAAATTAATATCCATTCACCAAAAAGTTATAAGAAAACAAATTTTCCAATTGATCCATAAGGCTATACTAAGTTTAGGTATATTCCGCAGATTTCTTTTTTGAGGTTTAATAGTATTTATGTTCTGTGCAATGTAACATAAATCTTTATCTTGATTCCATCTGTTGAGGGACGTGGTCTACTTTGATGCTCGGACTCTTCGAAATGAGCAAAGTACCCGTGTCGACACGACATAACACGGGTATGAGTATGGAATACGTGTCAAATCCTCCAGATTTCAACCAGAAACTTTGCCATTTCTACTACTTTCTTTTTCTTCCTTCTCCTTTCTTTTTTTCTTTCCCTTTTTTTCTTTCCCATTTCTGCTCTCTATAAACCTAGTGTCGCTGCCAAGAGGGTGGAGGAAAGCGGTGGCGCTATATTTTTCCTTCTTTTTCTTCTTTCTTTTTCTTTCCCTTTCTTCTTTTTTTCCTTCTTTCCCTCTCTATATCAATGATTTAGGATTTTCTTCGTATAAAATAAAAATGGGTTCCATATAGTACCACTTAGTGTTCCGCTCAAGTTCTTCATTTTCTATTTTATATTACATTTAGGAATTAACTTCCCATAATTGAAAATTAAAACCCAAAATTCTATTTTATTCATCTTAATCCCTTATTCAATACTCATTTCCTTCTTTGTGAACAATTGATTTTGGTATATTTAAAATGATATCTTAGGTTAGTAATAAAATTTGGCATTTGAAAGACATATCCATATGCCCGTATCCAAAATTAGGACTCTTTTTAATCATGTCCTGTATCCTATATTTTAGAAAATAAAAAAATCTCCACTCAAATACATGACCTGATGTAGTTGCTAATATTCTAGTTGCTTTGGGTCTTCTAATATGAATTGAAATGAACTGAACTGGCGTAAAAGGATTTATGTATCTGACCCTAATTCATTGGTAATAGAGCATTTTTATCTTCAGTCGTCACAATCCTTTATACAAATTAAACCTGAGATTTGAGTCTAACCTTATTCTAGACAATATTTTCGCGATACTTGCCCAAACTCAAAATTTTGTCTCAAGAATCACGTCATCGTCCAACAATAAAAACTAGGGGTGGGCACAGGTCGGTTCGGTTCGGTTCGGTTCGATTCTAAAGAAAATCGAACCGAACCAAAATTTTCGGGTATCTAGTAAATGGAACTGTCGAGTCCAAATATTATTATGGAACCGTTCGGGTTCAATTCCGTTCGGTTCGATTCGGTTCCGTTCCGTGCTATAATTAAATTTTTTAACATTTATAACAACATTATATAAATACAACTAATGATACATTCAATGGTTTTGGAATATCAGAGACTAATAGACTACCCTGTTCAAATGATCGCTACGGTCAAAGTTTTGATCGGCGGAGGTCACAACTTCGATCGGAGTCACAGTGTCGGCCGACGATTGTATAGGTTTTGGAATATTAGCGAGGCTGCAAGAGTGAGTCCGAGAGTCGAGACAACGTTATGTACTTTAGTGTAGGTGTTTAGGGTTATTTAGTAGATTGGATCTTGTTGGGCTAAGAAATGAAACAATAAAATAGGTAATTGGGCCAAAAATTAAAAAATTAGAAATGAAACAAATTATTGGGCCAAAAATTTGAATTTAGAAATTATTAATTTGTTTAGAAAAATTAAAACTAAAATAATTTGATTTACTCAATATAAAAAAAATTAGAAAGATTCGATTCTTATTCGATTTTTCGGTTCTTGGTCTAAAATCAAGAACCGAACCATATCCGTCGGTTCTCAATTCAGATACCGTTCGGGTATTTAATTTGACAAGAACCGTCGGGTTTGGTTCAATTCAATTCGGGTTCGGTTCGGGAGATTTGCCCGGCCCTAATAAAAACTCATTCCTATCTAGAGTCAACAATTGTCCACTGTATGTCACTACTTCAATATTGACGAAAAAGAGCATCCATATGTTCAGTCATCCCAAAAATGAATTAGAAAGTGGAGGACTGGAAAACCCTTAGGTGTATTTCCCTAAGACCTTCTGGCATGTGATATCGGAAAAAAAAAAAAAAGGCATGTTCAACAATTTATCCAATCATTCAAGGTGATAATTACTGGAATATAGTTTTTGACGTATCCAGAAACTTCAACTAACCTGCATATGTCACGGAGCATTTTAATCCTCCTCCGCCAGGTCAACTTATTCTTCTGATCACTCAAATGAATCAAATAATACAATGATCCCCTTTCCATGTATTCAGTGACCATTGACAGCCGTGGAGGCATTGTGCAGGCACCAAGGAATAATATGACTGCAAGAAAAGCATAAGTTAGACTGCAAACATTTATGTACGATTGTAAATTCAACTACTGATTCACCAACAAGCTAACTAGAAAACATGAAAATACAAAGCACCCCTCTCCATGTTCTACATAATAATACTATGAGTATGAAACGTGTATAAATATAAGATATTATAAAACATATATAAATATTTTTCAACAGGCACAAATGCCACACAAAAATAGTAATTCCAACTTTCAAGTGAGCATGGTTGAAAATGAGAGAAAGAGGTTTGACACATTAAAATAAAATATTTAACTTGTGAAAATTTTTCATACGCCAATGAGGCTACCTCAAGTGGTAAACTCTAAGGCCCTGCAACCGCAACTTCCAGGTTCATGAAAAAAATATGGAACAAACATCCTTTTTGCTCAAAAGAATGAGAAAAACATAATATGCATTTAGGCTCACAATCACCAATTAGAAATATTATTTTTGTCAATTTAAAATGATCCAGTCTTAACCTTTTCACAAACTTCTCCCACAATAAAAGGTAGGTTGATAATTTGGTCAAAACCATTTGTAGAAAATCGAATGATTGGAGGTGATTAGGGATTGATTTTAGAATGATTAATGTACCATATTTGATTGTTTCCATAGTTAAGTAGTAAAATTGGTTTTTACTAATTTAGGAGATTGGTTTCCTTCTCTGTTTTAATTCGGTTATGATGAATAATACACAATTCACACAGAGATCGTGTGCTTCTCTGTCTTCTACACCATTACCCAAAATTGACCTTTTCGATTGGACTTTAAGAAAAGAAGGAAGGAGAAGTACCATTTGGGTGCCGAAGACGACTGCAAAAAAAAAAATGTGGAACCAGACAAAATCGCAATGTTAGAATGATATAAAGCAGGACAAATAAAGAAAAAACAAAAAATGATGCAACAAACAGGATGACACCTGAGAATGGATATTTCATTGCAAAAGTCCTCCATGTTTTCAACAGTGAGATCTTGCTCCAAAAAGACTTTAATAGCAACTTCTGTTCCATTCCAAACACCACGAAAAACTTCCCCAAAAAACCCTGGATGTAATTCAATTAATTAAACATTAATTGCCAACACTGAGTCAGTAACAGATGACTAAACTGCAATATACCAGTAAATGAGACAAATAATATATCATATAGATATTCACTGTTTAAAAAATATATTTGAAGCTTACGCCTTGCCTCGCAAAGGTAGAACGTGCCCAATTAAGCCTCTCTTAAACACTGTTGATGTCTTATGAATTCAGGGCCAACTCTACACCTCATATCTTCATGCCCACTATTTATTAAGATAAATAATAAGTTGCAGGACGGATATATGAAGTGTGTTTCCTCCTTTCAATTTCGCCTTCAGTGTTGAAAGCAATTTGACTTGGCTAAAAAAATTGTGTTCACTGAGTAGTCCTATGCTAATAATGGCATTAGGAAACCCAAACTCCTTTTACGTTATACTTCAATTTCAAAGCTTTTGGTTAAGTAGAAGGGAAATCGGACTATAAACTTTCAGAGTATGATAGACACAATTATTCATTCCAATTTTTTTATTTTTTTTCTTTTAGACTATTAGACACCTGGTCCTGCAGCAAGTCTCTCTTCTTTCCTCTCTAATACAAGTAATACAACAACAATAATACTAATGGCAATGGCAATGCTTACCAATCCCAACACGAGTGCCAACGGTTAACTCTGAAAAATCAATATTCCATTCTTCAAATGGCAGGAGAGGCTTGTTCTGGAACATAGGTAGTCCCAGAACTCTGTTCCATGCTGAAACCATTTCTTCTTTTACCTTGTGGGTTTCTATTCTCTCTGGGGTCGGACTACTAAAGTCATGAGGAGATGAAGGTAACGATAGTGCCTTCTGAGAGTTGTTTTGCCTTCGAGGAGCATACAAGGAAGACCTTCCACCAGACATTTTATCCTGGTCAGGAAGTGTTAAATGGCAACGTGAGCAAGAAATAGTTCTTCAAGATTATGTAGGAATCCAAGGTTTTGAAATATTGAATTACAGGCATAGTAAACAGTGTGCAATACAAAAATTTTAGCAAATAATCAGAAATTAAAAAATTTGTTCTTTTATATATTTTAAAACTTGTTTAGCGAATCAAGCAACAGAACAGGGGTTTACAAACAAGGTCCAGAACATTAGATTCAACACACAATGCCCTTGTATTCAATTCTATGTTTAAAATGACTACCTCACTTAGAAAAAAAAATAAAGGATGCTTTGAAAAATACACAAACAATGTGTGCAAAAATAGCTGTAATTAGTTGTATTCCCCCATTTTATACCTCATTAGCATAATTATATGGAGATGTTAGAGCATAACTAGAGGAAAATGTTAGGAAGTTGTTAGTTTTTTTTTTTTCTTTTTTTTCTTTTTTTTAACACTGTAGCCTTCAGAGTTCATCAACAAAATATATGAAATATCACAAAATTTATCAGTAAAGAATTTGTAGTATCAGATTGCAGATGAACTTCAGTCTTTGATAACTAAAAGCCTGTCTGAGAAATTGTGTAAAAAAAGTTGATTTGACCTGTTTTTGACTATTTATAAATCGTTTATAAACACTTGCCAAACTTATGCTAACCAATGCCCCAGTAGATATAGAATTTGCAGAAGTGAATGAATCACAATATATACACATACAGTTTGTATTACCAAATATGAAAATAAAATAAAATAAAATCTACACTATAAATGTCGGATACAATTTGACTTTTAGTTAGTAGAAAATTAAACTTGATATTATGCCTCATGCCATCAGTTACAGATACCAAAACAGAGGATATACAAAAGCAAAACAAAGCCCAATTGAAATTAGAAATATCATCACAAAAACTTATCAAAAGTGAGTACAAAAGACAAAGAAAGAGAACGTAATGTCAAAGAAAACGTACATCTTTTTGCTGTTCTGTGCCATGTTGATCAGCTGAATCAAAGGAATACAAGCTAATGTCCTGTTGTTCTTTTAAGAGACGATTCTGCTTTAATGATTCATTCATTGCTCGTACAGCCCTATAGTGTCATAATGATTTTATAAAACAAGTGAGAAAGAAACATCATAATCTGCAGGACTTTACATGGAGAGTGGCTAGATCATGAACAATAAATCTAAAAACAATATGATTCTAGATGAAATGAACTGAGCCGAGATTCTCGAATAATTTGATCATTACAAAAATATTTGGAGCTTATTTGTTTATCAAGCTAAGCCTGATTTAATTGTATGCTCTTTACAAGCATAGAAGTGTGCTCAGCTTGGTTGATTTTAGGTCAACACTTCACACAAGACAAGGGAGGAACGAAGAGCCAAAGAAATATACGGAGAGATATTAAAAGCACATGGATGTTACATATCTGTTAGACAAAGAAACAGAGCTCAAAATAATATTCAAGCAATCTTCAACCTGCACGTAAAGTAACATGCCAACTATTGCCCTAATCTACTTTTATAAAGTAACATGCCAATTATTGCCCTAATTTACTTTTATGAAGTTAACATGGTAAAGATTGCATCAAGGAAACATTAACCATGAGTACACATAAGAATCAACAAAATTATCTATAAATTATCAATTTATTAAAATGTATTGCTTGCTTAGCGAAACTTCTAAGTGTTTATGAGCGGTGGGTCTAGGGGAATGTGTAGTTAAAAAGTCGAAAAGAGTTATGAACCATAAAGAATGTGTGGTTAAAAATGATGTTTGACGAGCTTATGAGCACTTAAAAGCATTGTCAATCACACACTAAGAATGTTGATAGTTCTCTATAATATAACATGCAAATGAATTGCATAATCTATTGTTTCAGCATGGAAAATCCTTGTTAGGCAAAACTGAAGCAAAATCGCTTCAAATGGCACTCAAAGGCATTTCTTATTTGCAATTTCAAGCGCACATTTTTTTGCCCCTCAAGAAGTTTCTGTGTGGAGTACATCGAGAAAGTTTACGGACATCCAAAAATGCCATCTCTTTCGTTAAGTCAGTCAAAACATGGGTAATGAAAACCTTTTGAGGATTTTGATTTTTATTTTACATGTATAAAGCTCATGTTTTGAACTATAGTAATGACATAGGATGCAATGAACAAACAGTGAAACTTTCAATCATAAATTAACAGAGTAACATCCTTTATGAAGGCCTCCATTAAAAGGAAAAGAAACAATTCCTATGTGGTAATAAGAGAGCGCGTATGTAAGAAAACAAATATTAACCTTACGATGTCATCACCGATTTCAGGAGTCATGCTTATACTTCTTCTCCTTGTTCTCCGAGTATCTGGCGCTGATGCACCTTCTGACCTGGGGCAAATTTCAACTTCTAGTTCAGTAAAAGCCAAGGAGTTCAAACTTCAAAAGAACTGATAACTAAATAAACTAAGCTGTCTATTAGACATTCATTTCATAAAACAAGAAGCTCCACTAACTAGAACAGAAAATTCTGGACTAGCACAAGTGGATGGTCTACAATATGCATAATCAACATCAAGGTGTAGTGTGCATATTTTTGTCATCAATTCAAGTGAAGAGTAAATTTTATATACGTCGGATGAATAAAGGTTGTATTAAGTACACAGAACACATTGTGTCAAATTACATCATATCAATTTTGTAAAAAATCCTTATCAGCCCAAATAGTTGGGTAGTCATATCTGATACTTCATAGTTTCTTATGTCAAATACTGATGCTGGTATAATAAAAAATAAAAAATAAAAAATAAAAAAAAGTTACACAATCCATTATTCCCTAGATGTGATTTGAACTCAACAAGAGATCAGATTTTTTAAGAAATGTTGAAATACTGGGGCAGTATGTTTTCCTTTATCCTTTTTCCCTCATTTTAAAGCAAAGACAACTTTGTTAACAATCAACACCCTCTTTCGAGGTCTCTTCTCCTTCCTTTTGAAACTTATTTTCTCCTTTATTTTCCACTTATCTGCAACTTATAACCATAATTATATGTCGCTTGATCACCTTAATATCCCCAATAAAGCCCTTGACTATGTCTACTATGAAATATTTAGAAGTCAGGAAAAAACAATTCCATGCAATTCATGAAGCAGCAATCACTTGACAAGTTGCCTTGTTAAACAACTGCTACTTATTCACCCTAAGATTTCTTATCTGACGAGTAATTTGCTATAATGAATTTATTGTAGAACTGCCATAAGAAAACGAGCTAACATATAGGCAGTAGGCAAACACCTGCAATTCTACAAAATTTTACGTTTCATTCTGGAATTAGAAAAGAATAAAGACACAATGTGCTCAAGCCCGAATCTTAAAAGGTTTTTGTTTCTGTTTCACTCCATAGACCACAGGAAAGCACCGTGGGGCATTTCCTTATACCGATACAAAAACTATTAACTATAACATGACAAAATGCAGCCCCAGCACTAGAAAAACAATTAGAACTTTCCAGCCAACAATATTCCTTCACTTACGTAACTCAAATAGGAATTTTGCATAGTAAATTAAGAACCAAGGTACTCAAATGGAACCCATGGCAACCAAGATGCATCTTTGTTTTACATGAGAAATTTTCGTAGTTCCTTGGATTAGTAATATTTGACAGTAATCACTATAATCTTTCCAGAAACACAATTGAAATCTGGGCAACATACAACCTTAAAAGCATCAGACCTAATTCAAGAAAATACAAAGTAATAATCATAAGATAAGCCTAAAATGCTGTATACATAAATATCAAATATCTATTTTTTATCCTGTATCAGTGTGTCCCTCAGAGGAGAATACACAGTTCCTCCGAAGTCACCCAGATATCTAGGAACGTACCCTATTATAGAATTACGACAATAGTCATTGTAAGATAAACTTTATCACCTATAACCTGAGTACATCACATAAACACTTGAGGAAGAGTATTTTTAACAAGTACAAGTCAACAAATCAAGTTGACACTACCACGTCCAGCATATATTACTAGAGTATGAACACCACAAAGGACTCACAAGACCAACTGTCCTTAAGTTCCCTAATCATGACTCATTGATTATCCCTCTTCTGAAACAAAATAAAGAGAACAGTTAAATAAATAACAAGGGAATATTCGCTTTGTTTTTCCACATCGTATAAGACATATTTGAAACAGGTTAGAACTAATTCTAAAATTCAATGCAGAAGGTACATCAACCTCTCACAACACAACCACTAATATAAGGTGACATCTTTGTTGGTCTCAAATCAACCTCTAACAACATCCGACCAGCAAAATAAGGTGACATTTTCGTTGACTTTGGAATAGAGCTAACCATACAAGAAAGATCTGTTATGAATTATTTAATATAAAATCGCCACACACTTTTGATTTATTGGAATAATAGCTAAAGAGTGACTTTGATGATTCAACACTTATCAGATTAAATTGCATTGAGTGTCAAATTAAAAATTATAAAGAAGAAACCAATTTTAAGATTCAAAACTAGAAGAACTAGTCCAGAAATAATTTCAAACCCTTGGAAATAAATAACAAGATAATAACATACGAATGTACCTCGATGTAGCTATCTCATTTGAATAGTCTCTGAAAGATTTGTTATCACCACTGAGCATGGATCGACCACGTGCTTGAAATGAAGGATGCTCTGGACTGCAAATTACGAGAGTTTAAAAGTTTAACATGAATTGCAATCTAAAATCCTCTCCAACTTCTCAAATGGAAGTTTCAGGCATTGAAGATCATAGTTACCATACAGAAGTAAGAGTTATTTAGGAAGGTTGTTCACTAATGTACGGTACATATAATTAATAAATGAAGAATTGAAAAGAACTCACAACTACCAAGCACGAAACCAGAAAATATAATGGGAAAGTATCTATCCAACTGTGGTGGCAATATACTAAACTTATTGTACTCAGTTATAGATGTTCTTCAAAAAAATAATTGCTTGTTTTTTGGGTCTTATGTACCCATGCCTATACAATCATGTCACAATCCAGTAAACGTGTCATTTAGCTAACATGCCATTTCCTTAGAAAGTTACAAGTGATCTTAATAGGTATTGCTAAGCTCTTTTGAAGAGGATATAAGAAGGCAATCAGATAAGTTCTGATCAAAGAAAGGATGTTCTAATTAAATATCACTTGTAAAAAACATCATTGTTATATCACTTAGATATATATCGAGAAACTAATTAGTTTTTCCTACTTTTCGTTTTTTATCGACTAATGCAATCATTAGTTGATCGTTCAACAGTTCAAATCTAAACACTTAGACAATACAACTAGCCTTTTTTTCCCCTTTAATGGCCTGTTGTGGTTGCCAACAATTTAGTCGCCTTAGATCTTCACTAAATCTAGCAAGGAATCAAAGGGAGAGATGAACTTCCAATTTATTAGGAATAAGTCTTACTTTGTTGTTGTTGTCACATGTCTTTCCTTTCACAATTCAAGTAAATTACAAGAAGCGGGGCCAGGGATGTTATTTGCCAGAAATGGGCCAACAATAGTCTCGTAAACAAACTTATGGTCTTCTTATATCAAAATATTTGACACCTTTTATGACTACAGTGAATTCTTTTTCACATGTATTCCGTTACTTAGATATCGTCTTACAAAGAGGTGCGAATTTCATTGATACAAGTATTAACATAGTGTGTCCAATTAATTTTGTATGCCATGTTTGGCCAATAAAAGAGTTCCTGTGAAGTAGTACCCGTGGCTTGTCTAATATTTATGGTACAATTTGATGACTCCTTGTAAATACAAATCACTCTCAAATATTATGCATTGGGAAACTGGAACTTGAGGAGACAGTGAAAAAGTGATACTCATCTGTTACTTGAAAGTATTCATCATACCTTAAATGGAAAATAAGGAAAAATATTTGTACCAATCATGCAAGGTTTCATTTGTCGTATTAAAAAACTATGGAGATTAAGATACAAAGTTCTATAACTAAATAACCATGTTCTCAATTCAAGCTTCATATAAACAGAAGTTTTGGTTATCAAGAAAAACCTTGAGCTGGCAGTCCTTTGTTCAGGAATGATCTGCCTCCTGCCCCTTCTCCAAAATGTAGCAGCAATATTAGGTTCACTGTGTGGTAAGCTGAGACAACAATATAAATCAGCAAGATGGCTTCTTGAAAAAGAAATTGCAAGTGAAAAGCAAGCATATTCAAGAAATAAAGCAAAATTTAATGAAGAGAATTAATAGTACTTCAGTTTTCTATCAACCGAGTTCGATCGCAACATCATATTCCTCAATGAAGGCCCAGCTGTATTTGAAGATGCTTCAAGTGTACGCTGATGCAGGAGGCCATCTTCTTTTTCAGCACTGTAGAATAAAATAGTTACATTTAATACCAAAAAATGTAGAGAAGGACATCCAATGAACAGACGTTTTTCTCTTCTCCGAAGATCACTCATTCCAGAAAAGGAAATCTTTATTTCTACAGTTATTGAATTACAATTTCAGAAGGGAAGCCCTAATGGTTACACATTTTCTGAGTAAAAAATGATATTATGCTAACCTCATAGGATCAACTGTCTCGGATACTCCATATAGAGGACTGTTTGGTCCCATTGGAGAATCACAAGATTCATTTTCTGCAGAATCACTCTCCCCAGCAGCAGATATGTGAGTCATAAAGATAGCCTTGGTTGATCGCGGTATCAGCTGGCCAGGAAACCGCATGAGATCAACTAGCAGTTCAACAGAATTCAGCACAACTAAGACAGACATATGTTTGTATGAGTCAACACACTCAGAATCTCCTTCAGTAGGCAAACCCTGATAAGGAAAACCATATGGACACCCGATGAGATAGGAACAAAACTGAAAAAAACATGAGAAAAGAAAGACCTCGAAATTCGCTACAATAATCCGCAAAGGTAGAAAATGATAATAAGTTAATAAAGATAAATGAAAAAGTAGTACAATCCCCCCCCCCCAACCAAAAAAAATTACTTACCACCACTAGCGTATTTTCAAGTCCTACAGTATCTGCAAGAACTTTAAACAATATTGCTCGAGGTCTGCACGAACCATGCTTTATTTGGCTCAGCATCTGCACCCCTTGATTTTCAGATATATGAGAGGTGTCCTCAAGAACAGTTTTCTTTGGACTTAGTGTCGAATTTGACCGGCCATAAACATCAGATACCTATTGGAGAAATCAGAAAAATAAGAGATTTCCATGAGCAATTATGAAAAAAAATTGACCATCAACACAGTAAGGAGAAAGACAAATTAATTAACTGCAAATGCAATTAAAAAACAGTCCACTAAATATTAAGAACCATCAACAAAACTTTGCACGTCCTCCCCATCAATGTCTTTCCAGCCCCACATATAATGCAACAGCTGAATGTCTATGGCATGGATTGCAAGAGCAAGCACACATAATAATACAAGTAAAAATGTATGCATCATTTTACAAGGTTATCGAAATACAATAGTTCATGTTCTAAACTGTTATAGAATGCGAAAAATATCTATTCCATTATAAAAAAACAAAATCCCCTTCATACTTTTAATGGGGCTGTTATCCTACCAAATATGATTTCCCTATTATATGCATGAGAAAGACAAATTAACACTTCTTTTTTTTTTTTTTTAAATCAAATTGATGCGTATGGCTTTTTGGTAAATTGCAAGATTTTCTATCACACTCATATTTCAAAAAATCAGTTTCATTAAATTAATTAAGGGATACCCGATGAAAACTACCACATGATGGCAATTCAATAAAGATTCAACCTCCAATAAGAGAAAACAAGGAGGGAAATGGATTTCATGGGTTTCCATCACAAGAGAGTATATATGGAAGAACGAGATCACTCTTCTCACTGTTCTTTGTCTCCTATGTTTTTCCCTCCAGATAAAAGATGTATTGGAAGTCCATAAAAGAGCATATCAAGTATTGCTTGCCAAGAATGCTAATGCCCTGAAAAGAGTAGTTTAGTGGATTCCCTTCAAATAAGAACAGTCCTACATAAAGTAAGAGGTATCTAAGAAAGATGAAGAGAACCGTCCCAATCAAAGAACCTAATTTCTAGTAAGAATTGTTTAGAAGTAAAATTTGAAAAAATTGTATTCGAATTTTGAGTAAAGAACTTGAATTTAGCAATACCTAATAAAGACATTAATGGAATAAAAAAATAACAAATTTAAAATGCAACCAATATAATAAGATTAAAATGATGAAATGAACTCTCACTAATTCAGCAATTTTTTTAATCATAGCTGCAGGATTCAAGCCCTTGACCAGAGCCTCAATTAGCTGTTTTAGCAAGGAAAGCTTCTTATCTTTCACTGCATCCACAAGAATAACCTCAGCTCTCAAACCCTCAAGCTCCAAAGCTTGAAGCTCCTCCAAAGTAGGTATATCTTCATACAGTTCCTTGAGCTTTTTTTCCTATAGATGACGACAATATTAAGAAAATGCCTCTTAAATGGAAAAAGAATAAAAAGCTAGCGACAAATCTGAAAAATTCATCGGAACAAAAGACTTAGGTGAGTGAAGCATCAGGGCTTCTGGGAGAATGGCACAAGTTATTGCTGAAGCAACTAAATATATGAAGAATTTAACTATTTAAGTGTTCTTTCTTGGGTCCAGCTAAGAAAAAAGATTTGGAACTATGCAAAAATATAGAGTCTTGCCATCTTAAGAAAAAAAAAGGTCATCCATATATTATAGAAACTAAATTCGGAATCCTCTTTGAGAACAATTTTGTCCCCGACTTTTGAGTTAGGGATGCATGACATTTAATGGCATCTTTGTACAAAATGAAACAATTCCAATTTACCTTCTGAATAGGTAACGCCAATTAAACAAAAACTGCAAAGAAAACAAGCCAATACTTTCTCATCCTTTCATGGACATGATGATTAATCCTCATTAATGTCCCGCCCATCCCCACAGCCGATTATTTATGTTCAAAAGAATCAGAAAGAACCTGATGTTTTCATCTCAGGCTGCAACATTGATTAAATCTTGGCTTCAATATTCTACTAAAATAAGGTTAAAGTGAACCAGTTAAATGTGCATATGATATTCATCTATTTGTTTATTGCACATGCCTGCCGGTTTTTTTTTTTTTGGGGGGGTGGGGGGGTGGGAGGAGGGGGTGTTCAACTGTGATTGAGAAATGAATGGAGATATCTACTCAAGAACTGAAATCGGTGTATCTTTCAATACTATATTTCTTACCCATAATAAAATGACAAAAAGGAACCAGTAAAAAAACAGGCCATCCATGGCCTAGAGGTTTCCAACTTTTTAAGCAAAGCAACATATTCTGGTAGATTGCTGCTTTTTGATCATGTCTACATCTTATTTTAATAGAACTAGGGAAAAAGACTATTTTTCTCCTCCTCTAATGGGGAAAAACTAATAAGGAACTTTTAGTTATCCAAGGGAAACAATGATTCAGTAATTGTCGGAGAAGACCCTACTACACAACTGTGCAGTACTTAGCATGACATGAAAAAGGTTCTCAAGATGACAGATATAATCTAAACACGAAATGATCTCTGTACCAGAATTGATTTGAAATAGGCTTGTTGAAAGACTAAACTCTTTAAACAGTGCTTAAAAATACTGGTCATTGTTAAATCACAAGAAGAATGTATTGAAACTTTGAAAGGTCAAAATTGGCCTTAAATAGCCACTCCACTATCCATGTTTCTGTTCTGTTCTATTGAGCCAAGAACTATTCATGCTTTTATGAATTTGTGAAATGCAATGCATAGGATACATCTTGGTACTAGATAATGAATTAGCACTTGTTTGTCCTATCTAGCAACTTCAAACAAACCCATGTCTCGTAATGCCTCAAAACTTCTTTTTCTTCAAAATAAATACATCTTAAATGAAAATACAATTTTATGTTATAGTACGGAAAATTTCAATTCAGTTGTTACTTCAAATAAAGTTTGCAAATCCTACCCCAAACAAAATGTCCATTTTCAGATCTTCAACAGGTTTAAGGTTGTATGTAATCACTGTCACTTTAACCAGCATAGAAGAATAAATTTTAGCACCATGGAGTGTCCTTAGCAGAAGTTATTTAGTCAACAACTATCTACAAACAGTCAAAAAAAGTTGCGCATAATAGGAGTGAGCATTAAGCAAAGAAGCATCATGTGCATAGTACTCTGCACTTTCTTTTGTGGCAAGAATTAGCATTAAAGACACCGGAGCAAAAGAAACAACTCCTACTAATGGTAACAACTAGTTCAGATTCTCAAGAAAATCAAAAGATATAAATCATGAAAGCCAATATATTATATATAACATGCAAGTAACCTAGAGATATTAGTTTTAGTGCTCACGGGAACAACATAGTAGAAACCATTTGGAATAGGTTCAGAAAGCATTCCGGTGCTCCAAAGGATCTGTGATGCCATCTTACATGACAACCTATCACCTTTCACGTTGTTGGTAGATTCTTTATTTCTCAAAATTTCTTCTTTAGAATCCAGGGAAACAGATCCAAATTTTTCGATGAAATCTAAAGACCTCCATTTAGCACTACGCGGCCGGTGCTCTGATGGAGCATCATCTCGTGTATCCTCCATGTCCATAGATCTTGAGATGCAATACCATCTCGTTAAAACTTTTTACCCATAAAAGGATTTATAAGACACGTTTTCTTCATCACACGAACTCATTGGTATATAAACTTCTTTCCTCCCGACTCCCACAAGCTGGAGGTCATACAACCTGACAATTGGATAAAGAGTAACAACTCACTGTCATCAGTTTATTCTTAGTTCCAAATGATTAAATACTGTTAAAGAGTTATGTTCAAAGGCAGAAAGACAGTAAAAGGATAAATTTCAAAATGTCCAAATAGCTGACGCAGAATTCACACTAAAGCTACATGGTATATGATGAAAATAAAATAGATGTTGCACTAAACAACCCATCATAAGCACACACAAATACAAAAAAAAGGATAAAAGGAAACAAAAAATAACATAACAAGAAAGACGATAAAGAAAGAAACAAAAGATGGAAGAATAAAACCCTCGAAAGGGTGAAAAATAAACAGGGAATTGCAACTGAACTTTAAAATGCAGAGGCAAAATTTTCATCATAAATGAGACAAATGGAAACCCATAAACTCCATCCAGTGTAAAGAACGTGGTATATGAACAATTCAGAGATGATAATTGGTCCATATAAACACTAGCTTTGCAATCTACCAAATATATTCTCTACTTTCTCTTATAGTTCTGATCAGTCAGCATAGGCCACCAGTTATGCAGGCAATAAAAAGCTCTAAGCAAGATCAAAGGAAGAAACAATGCAGGATTCTTCAAAGATATTTTGCAGCAAAAAAAGGGGATCTTGATGGAGCCTATATTATTTGAATACAAATCTGGTTTTATGTACTTTTAGGAGTTGCATTATTTTGATAATTAACAAAAAAGTAAATTGTATTCCACAAGTTAATGCCTCCCCATTAAAAATTTCACCATTGCAGAAACCCCAAAGGTTTCCCTTCATCATCTAGACCTTTGACCCTCAGTTCATAAAAAAAGGAACATTTTTTTTTTTATGAAAGGTAACAAAGCAACACATTAAAACAAAATTCATAACAAATACCCATTTTTGCATTGCAGGTTTTGTACAAAATAATACCAGCATGAGTTTTTCCTAACACATAAATCCAATTGCATGTCCTTTAGAAGGATAATGTATAAAGTAAAATCAGCAACAATGCAGACTTCCAATCATCCAATTATAATGACAGGCTGACAAAAGTTCCAGAGGATACCAAGTACCTTTGTAAACCTTTAATATCCAAAAAAAAAATTAAGTACTAGGAAAAAGAGAGTTATATTCAAAGTTCTACCACCTTAAAAGCTTTAATCTTTGTTTGCATCCACTTAAACTTACCCGATTACACAGATATTGAGACATTACCAAACAAAACTATCTCATTTAATTAGTAAATGTTACCCGTTTATAAAACCTATAATAAGCTAAAAGAAAAAAGCAGACTGTTCAATCCTAAAAATATCAAAAACCTTAAAAAAATTATTTTCTACAGAACCAAAAAATTTAGCCCCCGTTTGGCCCCCATTGTGCTTCTCATTCTTTTTCAACTACACAATCTTCCATAAAATAATATTACACGCAAATTAACAACTTTTCATTCTTTTTCAACCACACATTTTTTTCAAAAAAACACTATTCCAACCATTAAAATTTGGAAAGAATGAGGGCCAAACAGGGGGCTAAAGATTACAAGGAACAATATAAACTCGAGAAATGAGGTGAGCACCGATATAAACCACACTCATAACAAGCTTCTCCTCTAATCTTTAACCAGAATGTTAGAAGAAGAAGAGGAGACTAAATTTGAACCTAGCATGAAAGTACTATCAAAGCATAAATTTCTGGAGTTCCAGATTGCTGTAATCAATTATTTCTCGAAAACGATAAGGTTCAGAAGGGAGGACAGTCAGACACTATATGCAGATAGCAAAAGCATTGTCATCCCTGGTGGCACCAATTTGTCTCTGAACCATGATTCTTAAGAGAAATGGGGAAGAAAAATTTACTTCAAAATGCTACAAGATACAAATCAAGCATCCAATAATCCCTAGAGGATTGCATAACACTCAGATATTTTATGATTGAATCCCCTCAGTACGATCCATGTTTCAATGTTGCTACTCTCTAAGCTTCATGGTCTGTGGATCTTTAACCATTAGACATCCAGCAACCTACTCTATTGGTGATTTTTGGTATGGCACGTAGATTCCCAAGGAAAGGAAAACATTAAACAATATGACTATGTCCCTAAAAAGCAGTATCTAGTCATCATCTGAGTGTTACCAGGTCTCAGTATTTGAAATTTTCTCTTCAGTGATCCACATTATCCATGTCAGAAAATCTCTAGGATACAGATGACTCCCTAAGACTCACCAGTCACCACTAACATGGTACTTATTCTATCATCAGCACCACTAAAGTGAAGTTTCAGCATGCCCTGTACAGCCAAGAACGTGATGGTATATGACATTATAGATATTACATTCGGATTTTAAGATAGCCTTTCAACTAAAACAGTCTCTAACAGTCCACCTTCTCTAAATTTTGGTTCATCAAATATCAGGATCTCAGCAGTAAGTCCTCAAAAATTGTGGCAAGTAAATGACTCGCATTTTCAAAGTCAAGAGGCATGATCAATAGTAGAATGATCAATCCAAACAGCAACCCTGAACTTCCAGGCCAGAAGTCTTACTGTTAGCCTCTCAAAGAATTTCATTTTACCACGGTTTACAATTTCATTGGATTATTCAGACATAGAATTCATCACTAGATATGAAATTGCACGGGCAACCATCATATTTTACAAATGCAGTATCATTCACTAAAAAATACAACTACAATTCAATGTCCACTGTCCAGGTCATGCACCACCTAAAATTCAGAAACACAACACGAGATTTCTCGAATCCATTTTCCAGACATTCAATTACACCTGCAACTACTCACAACTCAACAATTCAATCACTTCTCTTCATTCATTTCAGCTCCGATCACTAAAAATCATCTCAAATCTTTAAGAGAGAGAGATAGAGAGAGTGTGTGCGTGTGTGTTAAAAAAAAAAGAAGGCATTCAAATAAAACAAACACATAAAATCAATAAACTACACACGGATTAGGCCTGATCGAAGTAGCTCAATAGCAACAGATCTTAGCAAAGAGAAACACAAGTCATTCGAATCCTTGGCGTTTCCGCTAACAAATTTCGCCGTCCAAATCGAAGATTTGCAATCAAAATAGATTATTATTCGAATTAGAGAGAGAGAGAGAGAGTGCGTAGATGCAAACGAACAAATAGAGTAATTGTGTGATAATACATACACACGCGCATATATACACACACACCCGCACTGTAAAGAGAGGCGGGGGTTTTATTTGACTGCAATTAATATTTTCTGGTTTTAGTCTCTTATTTTGTGTTTGTTAATAATATTTTTGACTCAAAATGTACAATCTATTTTTGCACAAAGTACAATTTTTGATGTGTTGATTGGACTCAAAATTCGCATAAAAGGTACATTATATTATGGGTTGCGTACAATGATATTAGGGATTCCAGCTAATTTCCCAAAGGGTCGTTAATGTTTAAATGAAGAATGAATATCAATTTGGTCCAAATTTAGATCCGACTTTTGCTCGTTAAACTTTGACATAGACTAACAATCATGACACTATAAATTTGTAAAATAAGAACCCGAATTTTGTTTGTTAAACTTTGATGTAGACTAACAATCGTAACATTATAAATCTATAAATTAAAAGGCGAACTTTAGGAGGAAAACCTAACATTTTTTAGCCATCAAAATCGTTAATCCGTCCCTTTAATCCTAATGTTATTTTTCAATAATAGTAAACAATAAAAGTGTCTAAAAATAGGTGATGAATTGGAAAGAATCGATCACTTTGAGAGCTAAAGGTTTAACACTTGTCGTTAATCGTGCCAACGAAGTAATGAGCTAGCCCTTGTTTGATCTCCATTAATTTCAAAATACATTTTTATCTCTCCATTCTTTTCAATGACACATTTTTCATTAAAATAATACTTCACGTAAATTTAAATTTTTTTCTTATTTTTTTATCATACATTCTCCATTAATCTATTATTCTAAAATACTTTCTTAATAAAAAAGGGGGGGGGGGGGGGGG